CAGTGCTTCAGTCCAAAAGAAGTTAAATAAAAAGCGCCCATCCATTAAAAAAAAAAAGTGTCTCACATGGCTCCGGGGGTGAACAAAGGCCTCCTGTAGCGAATCGATGCGTTTTTGTAAGAAAAATACCATATTTAAAACATAATAATCACTTTAATCTAGCTTGCGCTCACTGTTGTAAACGGAAGCAGTTCCGGACTGATGACGTATGAGGTCGGCTTTGCGCATGCGCAATTAAAAATTCTGTAAATGTGTACTAATTTGACTCGGTATGCTTTTCATGCAGCTTTAGCATCTTTTTGTTCGCAGTGAAGCGTGTCCACTCTGCTGACATGTTTACCTATCATAGCTTATCCATTTGTGTGCACAAAATAGATTGTAGAAGCAATAATTAAACATAACTGAAAATTATTTTTTGCTGTTTCGGTTGAATATTTTTTGGTTGCCGAGCTAATACTGTGAGATTGTTACTTGTTTCATATTATTTTTCTTAAAACATTTCCCACATATTAATTTTAAAAGCAACATTGAAAACTATATCAAAGGTCGTCCTATTTTATTTCTTAATACACATTTATACACACTTTATAGTAGACTATTCATCTGTGTTAAAAATATTTTTCATATTTTTTATTTTTATTGAAATGTAATGCCTCAAAATTCAACAGATGTCATGATAATTAGTCAAATTATTACAGTCCAAGTTAATTACAAATATTGCAATTTGTTATTGTCACATTGTTATTGAAATTGGCAGATTTTTATCTGTAGCTAACCAGTTATTCCACCCTTGGATGAAGCTAGATTTCATATTGTTTTACTTGATATAAAGTAATGAAGAAGTAATATACTTATTACACACTGTTATTGTTTCAGAGGTGTAATGGTGCTTAAAACATACTCAGATCAAATGTTTTCTTCCCTCAGTGTGCTGGAAGCAGTGACTGGCTTAGCGGCAGCGGTGCCAACAGCAGTCGTCCCATGAGTTTTCTTTTGGCCTGAGCTGTCTGCTTTGGGCTCTGGCCTGGTTCATCTGGATCTCGCAGTCATGGATCACCCCAGAGAGAAGGAGGGCGAGAGGCCGGTGAGGAGCAGTAAAGTGGCCCAGGGACGCAGCGGGCACTCACGGCCCTCCAGCTCCTCCACGTCCTCTGGGGTCCTTATGGTTGGACCAAACTTCAGAGTTGGCAAGAAGATCGGCTGTGGCAACTTTGGAGAGCTGAAACTCGGTAAGAGAAGCCATTAGTGTCTTCATTTTTCACAAAAGTCTCCATGGAGCAACTAGGGGTGAAGTTCTTCGCTCAAAGGTGCCAAGCAGGAGTGAATCTCAGGAGCTCTGGAGTTCCTGGGTCACCCTCATTTGTCAATCCTTTGGGGAATGTTGACTTGAGTCATGTGAAAGTTCCTTAAAGGCGAAGTGTGTAATTTGTGCACTGCTAGTGGCAACAAATTGTATTGAAAAAAACAATGTTTTCAAAGAGGTTTTCTTAGAACACGCCTCCCTGATCTATTAGTTGAACAAACTGATTGGTTGTGGAACAGAGGAAAAAATTGCACACTTCACCTTTTAAGGCGTTGGCCAATAATAAATATATATATATATATATTTTATAATATATAAATAATATTTTTTTTATTCTGTGATACTGGAAGCAGATAATAAATGCTAGGTCATTTTAATCTGTTCTATCCATCTTTTCTTCTGTAATGTTTAAACCTGACATTACTTTTCTTGAGATATTTACCTGCAAACAATATTTTTGTAGTATAATCAATTTATCAGCCACCATATTGGTTATCTAATGGCCAATTATGTAATCAAAAATTGCTGAAAATTGTAAACTCGCTTGAAATTCACTTATAAAATTGACAAGAAAATTGGTAGATTTTGGAACTGACACAAAAGGGAACTACCACTTCTGTTAATCAAGCAATCGGTCAGTCACCGCTGATACAGTAATCACATAATTGCTCTAGTGTGGGTAGAGTGTTGCTCATGACACACATTCTTGTCAAAATCTGCATTGAATTACCTATCTAATTGATTTGATCTAATTAGATGTTCCTATCTAATGCCAAATTTACACTGCGAAGGTGGCACAGAAGTGCTTCTGAAGTGGCATTAGGGTCTTTACACAGACTGTTTCATGCTGCTCATAAATGCATTTACACTGCAATTACAACTGCATACTTCAATTCTAGGGGCTGAGGTGGGTCTGAGCAGGTATAATATAGTCTAGCTTTTATGTGGCATTGTGTCTTTACACTGAATTTTGAGCAGGCACAGAGCAGCATTAACTTAGCTATGTATAGATGATTTCCAATAAAGAAATCCAATAATTGAAAATAGAAGTATAGGCCAAAATGTCTGTATTATTGCATTCATGTTTAATCAGTCTAATTTCAGTTGCAGATGGTCACCCTTTTTCTGTTTTGCTTTTTAGGAATGAATCTCTATACAAATGAGTATGTTGCAATAAAGTTGGTAAGTATATTATTGCATTCATGTTTAATCAGTCTAATTTCAGTTGCAGATGGTCACCCTTTTTCTGTTTTGCTTTTTAGGAAAGAATCTCTATACAAATGAGTATGTTGCAATAAAGTTGGTAAGTCAACTTAATGTGAACAAATAAATGGGTTTTAATTGAATCTTTTTTTTTTCTGCCACTCCTAAAGGAACCTGTGAAATCGAGGGCCCCACAGCTACATTTGGAGTACCGGTTCTACAAAACATTAGGCAGTTCAGGTAAGATTATAATCAGCACCAGCACCGCTATACCCTGCATTTATCTTCTTTGTTTACTTGGATAATATTCATTTCATGTGTTGTGTTTCATATTCAGAGTGTTTGCTCATTTTATCTCATATACCTTTAGCCTTAATCTTCATATCCAGGTGCATGACTTTGTTTATACTGCGCCTAAGCTTTGTGACAGGGATTTACCATTATTTTTCTTGCTTTGAAGCCTGCAGTTCCCGAGCAGGTTTTGTAAGGATGTTTCCTTTGTATTGGATTGAGGATTTTTTCCCCTCTGGAGTATCTGACATGTTGAGTCATAGTTTCAGTTTTGATCTTACAGAACAGTTTGTTTTACTACTGAGCCTAGGCATGTGTGTGTGTGTGTGTGTGTGTGTGTGTATATATATATAAAACAGAAATGAAAATCTACTCGCTTGCTACAAAATTCATGTTCTGCCTCACCTACCAGTGGTTGATGAATAGAGAAAACTTGTCAGCAGTGATCAGATCATGTTGAAATATCTGACAAAGAAATTCTACAGAGGTTTTTCATTGTATTTTTGTCTCAACTCCAAAGAGAAAGGAAAAATTGAAATCGCATCATATGACCCCTTTAATAATTTCATATTATTCTTAACCTCTAAATCTGTTTATTCATGCTGTAAATCAGCAAGGACTAATAATTGTTAGGTTTTTTTTATCAGGACACCGTATTGAGGCAAGACTCAAACTAGTGGTAAAACATATGTCTGCTCATGCAGTGGCTGCTGGGTTTGATCACTTCACACTGCACTTTGATTCAGGAAGTAGCGGCTCGGGCGTCACAGAGCAGCACGGTGACGGTGTTGCCCTGGTGACACAACGCAGATGCTCTCTATTCAATGTCTGGTGGATGACAGGCCAGGGGGTGTGGCCTCAGACTCTCTATTCTTGAGATTCACACACAGTCATTCCTCAGTCAACATCTTCAGACTGAGTGTATTAGAATAAGAAATTTACGCAGCAGCTGCGTCAGTAAGACGGTTCCCTGTCATGTATAGCCAATGTTGTGTGTGTTTGCATTCAATAGACAGCTAGCTAGATAGAAATTCTATTATCATTTTAGGAAGAATTCAGATTAGAATTAATAGATCTGGGTGTCAGTCATTTCACAGGGTTCATGCTAACAAGGACATTTTGGTGTCTTTTCTAGAGCTTTTTAAAGCACAAATTTTGGGCCATGGTGCGTATTGTTGAATGAAATGAAGATTTCAGTGAACAGAATTTTATTAGTAAAATGTGCCCATAAAATGCTAATCACTGATTGAATATTGTTCTTATGCTGCATGGCTGGACTGAATTTTGACATTGTGATGTGTTTTTATCTGCCGTTTTTCTTTATAGAAATGTAATTATGCAGTGACATGATACCGATTTGCAGTATCTGCAGTTTTTAATCAAGGCAAATGCTTCTCTGCTCTCACAGTCAGCCAAACTGAGAAAAGCCTCATTTGACAGCCATTACAACTGATTACATTAGTGTATGTGAACAGAACTGATACTCACTTACATTACTGTGAACTCTGTGTCCTGAATCAATACATAAATTAAATGTTAGACTAGTGGCATTAATTCACCTAATGTAGGTGTTCTTGAGGTCGCTTCAAAAACTGCAAAAGGCGGGCAGTACAATGGGGGGAGGGGAGGGGGTTTTGGTTCTCATCTTGAGACACATTTGTTATTTTTAAGTTGAAATTATTTTAACTTGAGCACAATGTTTTTAGAACAGCGAGTCATGCACAAGATGCTGCAGAAGACATGAGATCTCATCGGTCAGACACATCTGTCTAGCACTTGTTTGCATAGAAAAACAATGGAAAAGTAGTGCAGTGGAATGGAAAATTGTGTTCCGTGTGAATGGCCCCTTGCTGTTTTTCTGCATGTTCATTTAAGGTTGAGAGCTGCTACACAGTTTAAAGGAGTAGTTCACTTCCAGAATGAAAATTCTGTCATCATTTACTCACCCTCCACTTGTTCCAAACCTATATGAGTTTCTTTCATCTGTTGTACACCAAAGAAGATATATTGAAAAATGTTAGTGTACGAACGGTTGATGAGCACCATTGACTTCTTCCTTAGTAGGAAAAAAAAAATACTATGGAAGTCAACTATACTATGGAAGCGTTGTGTGTGAACGGCCCCTAATGGCTGCTAAAAACTCAGCTTTGCCATCACAGGAATAGAATACTTTTTAATAAAATGTTAAAATAGAAAATGGGTGAATTGTAATAATTTTTCACTATTACTGTTTTACAAATAAATGCAGCCTTGGTGAGCATAAGAAACTTTTCAAAAATCTTAATAATCCCAAACATTTAAACAGAAGTGTGCATAACATCCCAGAATACTGTATGTCTATTTAAAAATTAGATGGGTTTTTATATTAAATATGGAAAACTTTTAATATTATAATAGATTTTTAACATTTTTCGTACTGATTTGGGAGTAAGTGAATGAAGAATGAATGAAATCATACTGATTTCATTCATTCATTCATAAGTGACAATAGATTTTTCATTTTCAACTATCACCAGGTATTCATAAAGTTTGGAATTTGTATGTTTTGTAACGCTTTGTATAGGAAACATTTGCCCTTCTTACATTTGAAGTAGATGTCAAGCGGATGTGTTTGTAATGATATATATAGTTCAGGGGTGTGTTGGACCAGAGGAGACAGGAAAAGGGTGGCAGCAGCAGCATCTGATCAATAATTCAGCACACTGCACAGCTAGCGTCTATACAAGCGTCTCAGTAAAGCTGTGTGTAAGCCTACATGTCTGCTGGTTTAAGCAGGGATGTCTGTGGAAATGCTTTGAGTCTTTCTGTGTATAAGTCTTCTTCCTGTGCCGTATCTGGGACGGTATGCGGGCTGTGCGTCTCTGTACATGTCCCACAGCAGGGTTTGTGTCTCAGTGATGAATCAGCACTTCAGCAAAGGTGGCACTCTGACCACAAGCGTTTCCAGGATGTTCACTTAGCGCTGTTATCGTATGACGTCTGAAAAGCAGTCCGCTGATTAAACTGCCTGGCATCCGAGCTTGTGTAACTCTACACTGGTGCCTTGCTCAGCTCCTTGGGCACCACACTGGAGTAATACCGAATCAGCAGGGTCCCACATGAACTCTGAAGCCCTGACCCCTCACAGGGGCTGCTGGGGTACAATATGCAGACTCTGTTTCTTAGAGCTAGCTTTTAAAGCATACTGTGTTCATATCCAAACTGTATGACTACACCTTAATTCTAATGTTACGATTAAAAAGGAATTTAATAGGAGTATATTGCTTTTTGTATTTTTCTTGGCGGGAAAAAAACCTTCCAATGTAAGATGAGTTTTATATGTA